GTATGTCCTTAGAGCCTTATTTGCATATTTATAAAATAGGGTAATACTATATATGGAATGAGAGCAGTGAATGCCCAAGCTGTGGGAATTAAATGACACAGTGGATAAAAAGTGCTATTTATTCAAGGAACATTTATTTACAGGCATGACGTAAAAACTGAAAGTAAGTTTATTTACGAAAGCTTGTGTATGGAGGAGCAAATGGACTGTTGATTAGGTATCACTAATGACCTCGTTTCTCCTATCCAAGTAACATCATTACTCCAGTTAGAGCTGTGCTCTGGGACCCCAGATACTCGAGATGAAGGGCAGTGGCATGGAGCTACGTTATTATATTGGCAGCTTCATGATTTGAGAGTCTATCTGTATATCCAGAACAAATCTAAATGCCAGAGATCTATTCCTTAATACAATGTTGAAGGTTTATCCATTCTTGGAACATTCATCAAGCAAACATGGTCTACCTTACTCTTGAGCTTAGGTACTAAATCAATGGGTAAAAATTTATTGGGTGCCAGCTCAGTATAAATCACAATTTTCTATCCTTGGAAAACTTGCATGCTATTGATTAGGGAGAATTAGGGAGAAAAGACACATGTATGAAACATTAAGTATTATAATATTATATTTAAATAAAAATTCAGGAGAACAAGTAATATAAAGCCAGTGGTGGTAGGTTGTCAGGAGAGTGATTCAGGTGGAGTTTTAAGTTGAGAGGAAAGAAATGGGTGCCAATTCTAGGAGCTGGGCTCTGCACAGCAGGGTCCCGATTATTCACAGTGGAGGGCCAGCCTACCAGGCTATTTTATCTCCTCAATATGGCTATTTACATCCTATGATTTCTGTTTTCCATACATAACTGTGACCTTGGGGAGAAGAGGCTCCTTCAGCTCTGCTCAAATATATTTAAATAACTGGTCAGCTCGATGGCAGATGGAAAAAGGCCACTTCCTGTGTGTTCCGAGGCTCATTTGGTTCCTTGAGAAAGAAGTAGGACCTGTTGTTTGACCTCCAGAACCTATATTCTCCCATGAAAGTAGGGATCATGGAGCCTGCCTCTGTTTTTTGTGAGGATTCAGCAAGGTGATGAAAGTGCCTGGCAGAGATCATAGCCCCTCAGTAAATGTTAGTTGAGGGCTCTCTGTAGACAAGACATTCACTGTGAAAGGATTATGTCGAGTGTAAGTTATAGTGGAAGAAAAACAGCTCAGAAGTAGGTGTCTAGCCCTCCTGCTTACCCTGAGGCTGCTTGAACCAACAGAAAGTTCTGGTGCTTTTGTGTTTGGGTGTGGATAGTGGATATGATGGCGGCTCAGGCTGAGCCACAGGAAAGTGTTAGAAACCCAGAAGCTCGGGACCAAAGGCTGGCTGCCTCCCCTCCTTGCTCTCGCCAGTGTGGGGAAGTAGTGAGCTCCAGGGACTCTGGAAATGAACAGTCCAGGCTTGAATCTCTTCTGTGGTCCTGTTGTCTTTGTTTTATCTGTGCCTATATTTTGCAAGTTGCCATTCTGTGCCTTGTTTTCCTTGTTTAAATGGACTGATAATGATATCTGTTTTATAAAAGTCAAGACGAGATGGTGCACATAGCAGCAGATGCCACAGTGGCTGGAATGTAAAAAGTGCTCAATAAATGTTAACCATATCAGAAAAAACTTACTGGGCTTCTCATGAATGCACAATACTCGGCTCTATATTAGGGGCTGTAGGATATGATGGTAATAATTATATTAATGGTGATAACAGCTAACATTTGTCCAGTGCTTACTATGTATCAGACTTTATACAAACTCCTTAAATCTTTTAACAACTACATAAGTGGCATTTGATCCCAGGAAACTGAGACACAGGGTGCTTACTTGCGCTCTGATTTTACAACCTAATAGAGGAAATAGGCTGACAAATAGACAGTTATAGCATGGAATTCTCTTCAAGAGAAGTTTCTCAATAACTGTTGTCTCCCATCTCCTCTTTTTCACTTTCCTTTGTGTCCCTATTACTAGGAAGTATTTATCCTAATGGTGGCCCATCAATACATTATCTTTGCAAGCTGAGGATAGGCTGTTGCATAGCACTGGTATGATTTTGTATGAAATTGTCCTGTTCTCTCCTGACATTCTTTGCCCCTCATTCACACTAAGCACAGATCTGCTTGTACAGACCTTTGAGCCCAGCAGCCCCAGCTGGCTGAGTGGTGGGGCCAAGGAGTAGAAGTTTGCTCTCCTTCCTGCGCATCATCCATCGTAATGTGGTGTCTATTAGCATGGCTGTGGAAGGGAGTTGTTTGTGAGGCCAGTGCTCCCTGTGTGACAGAAGACTTCCCATTTTGAAAAAGCCCATTCTTTTCTGTCCCTTAAACACACTTTTCCTGCATCCTCACTCAGGTAAGTAGCCACTGACATTGATGACTTAGGCTGGCATCAGGAAAGCACTATCACCTGATTTTTGCCTCCTCTTCGTTTTCCTTGTAACATAACATAAAAGATGACTAAGATGATAAGCCCGTCATTGACCATAAGTGACTTACAAATCCCAGAGTTAAATAAATGTTAAAAGGAGGAAGTTGCAGACTCATCTGTGCCCACCTCCACCCCTAGGAGACAGCTGCGTTTCTCCCTGGCACTGGGTGAAGTGTGAAGGGAATGCTCAGGAGGTGGGAGTGGGTTTCTTCCTTTGATTCAAAGGCACTGGTGTAATTTGTTGTATTTGGCTCTTGCCAAGGTAACCTTCTTCATTGAAAAATGTATTGCAGGATTTAGCCAGCCTGCAGGAAGCACTAATTTAGTGACAGATCTGTGGTGTTTGGGGTGGACCTTTGACCTGGGGTGGAAGCTGGGCATTGTGAATCTCACCTTGTGGTGGAGTTGGACTGCCTTGTACACACAGGTCAACACATATATTCACACACTTCGATGCGGAAGGGGCCCACATTCATCAAAATGCAGAAATGTTCTGTGTACAAAGAGATGGCCAGGGAGTTATGCAGAAGGTGTATGGAGAAAAGGAGGAGCAATGGTTTATATACTCCCCCCAGAAAGTGTTCCCTTCTGAAATTGGAGGATGGAACATGAAACTCACTCACAGAATAAACAATTGCATTGAGCTCCATGGTTCTTCACCTTGCCTGGGGAACTTAGGTCCCTGTTACTTTAACATAAAAGGGAAGGGGCTGCTAGATTGAAGGCATAGGAAATCCAGGTGGGAAGTAGCTCCTGAGCCCAAGTGGAGTGCTTTGATGTTAGTTACCAAGCAAGGCCTGAGCTTAGTTGCTCTTTTAGGATCTGCTGGCTTATTCTGGGGTCTTTATGAAGGGGTGCATATCCATGTAGGAAGGGCTGAGATGACCCTTCAAATTTTCTTTTAGAGTTTGACATTTAGCTGCTAGGAGTTGTCATTCAGAGGAATTCTGGCTATGACGAATGCTTACAAAATGAGAGATATAGAGGCGGACAGGCTCCAAAAACATTTCAGCAAATATGCTTAAAAGAAAAATATAAGGCTAGGTGACCTACTTGGAAAAACAGGGCTACCTCTGAGAGCTCTGGCCATGGGTAGCCACAGGTTCTGAAAGGTGACACATGTAACCGGGACTGATTAGAAGTGGCTGGCTCTCCCGAGGGCTCAGCCCTTGGGTACAGAATGTGGAGAATTTAGGGTTGGTGCTGATTTTTAGCGCCTAACCTCCAGGTCCTAGATGAGGAGGCTGTCGGGAAAACTAGTTTCCCAAGTCTGTGCGGAAGAGAGGTAGCTGTGGTTGGAGAACTAACACCAAGGCTATGTCTGCTCTTTATACCTGTAAATGTTGTTTTTAGGAGCCCTTGGCTTAGGATGACAGAAAACACAATGATTCTCAGGACACAGGTTAGCAGAATAGCAAGGAGTGAATTGTTAGGAGTGGGGACTGGGGATGGAAATTCATGGTTTCAGAAACAGGAGTTAATACCAGGAATTCGAGCCATCAAGGGACACTTCTATGTGTTCTCTTCAATATGGCTAAAATTAGACCTGTGATCTCCAGACCTCCCTGACCCCCACAAAACAAAACACAAGTCAGATCCTCCCCAAGACTTCCCATTTCATTAAATGGTACCCCTAACCATTTGTGTAGAGCCCAAAATCTAGGAGTAATTTTTATTTTCCTAGCTCCCTGTCTCACCATACATGATATATGCAAAACAAATCCCAAATCCCGGAGTGTTTCTCTTCTGCTTCTGCCCTGTGGTCAGTTCTCACCTGGGCCACACCTGGGCCTCCTGGCTGGGCTCCACGTGTCCCCTCCTGCCACCATCCCTTCCTGCCACCATGCACTGCATTCTCTGCATACCCCAAGAGCAGAGGCAGCTCCTCCCCTGGCCTCTGTGTACACTTTAAGGGGAAGTCTGGCCGTGGCTCACAGAGGCGCTTGCCCATGGCTCCAGTCTCGTCCTGCACTGCTGTGTGCTGGCTGTACCTTATACCAGCTCGCTTCCTTCCACTTGCCCAGGCCAGTGCTAATTTCTGCTGTGGGCCCTGTGTGCTAGCTGCCTCGCCTCCCTGGAAAACCCCTTTCCCCCACTTCTTCACCTCCTCTGTCCAAACCACTTCCTTCTCGTCTGCCATGCAGAGGTCAGCTCAAACCTCTGCCTCTCAGAGACTCCTTCCCTGACCTCTCGGCAGGAAGTAGCCATCAGTCATTCCCCTTTGCATCACTCCACTTTATTCTTTGGAGAGTGCTCATTACTTTCTGATGCTTGGCTTTGTCTGTTTATTGTTGGAGGGCTTGCCTGTTCCTCTCCCCTAGAATGTAAGCTTCTCAGAGCAGGAGCCGGGTCTGTCTTGTTCCTGTTTCCCCAGTAGCCAGAACGGTGCTGAATCAGAGGGGAGCACAGTGAACACTGCGCTCTGGGAAGTGCATTGGTGACCTCTGGCCACGAAGCCATCGGCGGTGCCAGTATTGGTGGGGCTTCCTTCCTGTGCCCACCACTTCCCCTGGATCTGACTGCTGGTCTTCTGTTGCCCTGCAGCCGCCCATGCCAACTTCCGTTCCCGGCGACGGTGCAGCAGCACAGCCCGGTGTCCTCCCAGACCTCCTCCGTCAGCGGGCCGCTGCACTCCGTCTCCTTGCCGCTCCCACTGCCGATGACCCTGGCCGCCCCGCAGCCCCCGCCGGCCGCCTCCCCCAGCCAGCAGCTTGGGCCAGATGCTTTTGCGATTGTGGAGCGAGCCCAGCAAATGGTGGAGATACTAACAGAGGAGAACCGGGTGCTTCACCAGGAACTTCAGGGTTACTACGACAATGCCGACAAGCTCCACAAGGTGTGTGACTTCCCGGGGTAATGGGTGGGAGAAGGTCCTCTGGAAGGAACAGAATTCTTTACCTGGTCATGTGGGGTTGATTTGCTCACTTAGTTGCCAGCATTTAACTAGGCCCCTTTTTATGCCAGGCACTGTGCAAGGCTTTAGGGAGACAAAAATAGATATGACCCAGTGCCTGCCTTGGAGAAGCTTACTTTCCTGAAGGGGAGAGAGTCACATAAGCTGGCACCTGCAGTGGAGTGTGAAGGAGTCACAGTTAGGGACAGCAGAGATCGGAGACTCAGAGGCTAAGTAGGATTCCCGCAAGTGAACAGGTGTGGAAGAGGGAACCCCGAGAGTTAACACAGAGGAATGAATTGACAGCCATCAATTTTTCCTTTAAATCTGAGACTCTCAGACAGGTGTGTTTCTGTGTTTGTTTCATTAGCTGGTCTCTGCAAAAAGCAGCGTTCCCTCACGCTAGAGGGTCAAGAGTACAAGTGATTGTGTGCTTTCCATACACCTGTGACTGGGGGTTGGGGGTGCTGAGTAATTCCAGCCTGTGTAGTGATCGTGCGAGTGTTAGAATGTATGGCAGCCGCATTCTTAGGGATTTATACTAAGAGCCAAAGTAAATAGGAGAACACCCAGCAAGATTAAACTGTTGCCAGGCAGCGATTTCGTGATGACCCACAAGTCATCATCTGATGTGCTGCAGGTAGGTTGGAAGAGGAGAGGGGACAAAGGTAATAGGATATTTTAGGGCAGGAGAGCCACAGGGCACTCAAGTTTCCTTTCTGGGGGCAAGGAAGCATGCATGGTAGTAGTGATCTTACAGGAGTCTAAGCGCCTACCTCTGTCCTTGCATTAAGAGGTCTTTGAAAAGGGGAAAGGTAGGAGTATAAACCCTACCTGACTATAAGGGCATTATCACTGTGGCTCCACATGGTAACTAATGCTCCTGGCTGGCCCATTTGGTGTTCACTATTTAGTATTGATTTCATAGGTAAAGCTGGTCTTGCTGGTCAAGGTTTCAGAGCAGTCGGCCCCTCTCACCTCCAGAGGGCTGACAGTGAAAAGCAGGGAGCAGTGGATTCAATGGTACAAATGTTCACAGACATGTGTCCCAGCATGTTTGTGCGGAGCTTCCACTAAAAGAGTCGGGAGCTCCCTGGAGTCAAGACCAGACTTGGCTTAGGGAGTTCTGGCTGCCTTTATTGGAGGAGAAAAATGAGAGCCAGAAACAAGCAGGGGCTGCCTGAAGGTTGCAGCCCCACTGCCACCCCACCCCTCGCACCCTTAGAAGTTGGGAAACAGGCGTGTTGTCTCCAGGGCTTGGGCCTGTAAGTCGCTGCACAGGCCCAAGCTTGCCTCTGACACCTCCTGGTGCAGCTTCTTTCTTGGTATTGTCTGAAAATCGGGAAGCGCCAACTCAGCACTTCTTGGGAAAGGAGCATTTCTTTCTTCACCCCTACCGAAGCTCTAGGACAGACTTGTCCAGGAGCTGTGCAGACCCACTTGAGGATTTGGTGCTGGGTGTTTTCCTATGGATGCTTGTAAAGAGTTACATGGACAGTGCAGAAATTGAGAGGTCTTCTTGTTATTCTTCATTGACCTCTTTATCAATATATACTTTGTATTGACCTGTAACATACATCTCTTTCTTGATTTTGATGCACATTTCCATTTTGAAAAACCAAATGACTTAATCCCCCAGTGACTTGATTTGCCTGCATAGAAGATGATTCTTAAAATTTGTGGCCAAAAGGATTTTGATGGCTTCTGAAAAGGGAAACAAATCAAAAACTGTTTTCCTTCTGGAAACCCAAACTCCTTCAGTCCCTTGAATATTATAAATGGTTCTGCAAATATAGTAGGTCTTCACTTGATGTCATCAGTGGGTTCTTGGAAACCCGTTGTTATGTTATAATGTTATTACTTTGATGGGGAAAAAAATATGCTTCATAAAGAAACAATTTTTTTCTCAGTGATGTTATCACAAAATGACATTGAAAGAGGACCTGCTGTATGTCATTTCATTTAAAGTTGAAGTTTCCAAGAACCTACCGATGACATTACGTGAGGACTTACTATACTACATTTCATTGATCTGTCATGTATGTCAAACCAGAATTGTCAATTTAAAACCTCAACCTTTGATGGATACTTGCCATATTCACCATTAGTTCTATAGCTGTCCTCAAGAACTAGGACCAAGAGGCAGAAGAACCGTGTGAACTTTGTGGCATAACATTTCACGCCTTGTGTTCCCAGGATCATCCTGATCCCAGATCTTCCCTCACCACTGACCTTTCTGCTCAGTGTTCTTAGCAGCTGTTTGAACCTTCGAACTGGGGAGAGGGTGGCTGGATGAGGTGACAACCTTGCTTCTCAGAGACGATAGCTGCCAGTGCCCCTGGCGTGGATTTGACCCCTGCTTTGAGTCAGCCTACTGTACTATGATGTAGGATGTGACCACAGTGTGCCCACAGCATCATCCCATCTGGGATCCTCAGAGCATTGAGAGTGCTTTGGCCCTTGCAGAGATGGCACTGTAACGGCAGAACCAAAAATAGATGAATTTTTAATTGCAGAGCTTAGCCTACACATACTGTGCCAGGAACACAGCAGAAAAGAACGATTAAATTCAGAGACTGCCAAATCCCAGTGTAGATATGAAGACCCTGTTTCCAAAGAGGCGCAAGGTAGTGATTATCACTGTTAATGTTGGAATGATGGTCAAGGACCCCCAGAAAGAGCTGTTGTTTTTTAGTTTTTCCTTTTGGGTACTCATTTTGCTACTTTTTCCTCTCAGTTTCCCTGAAACTTAATTAATGGATGGAGTTTCCACCAGGACCAGACTGTGGGCTGTCAAGTGGGTTGGCCTCAGAAGCCATCAGGGAATAGATGGACATTTCTAGGGAAAGGGCCAAGCATTTATGGTTACCCCAGGCTTGTTTTGGTGAAGACCCTCTTTTATGAGTAAAACAACAGTGGCTTTGATCGGGCAATCTGTGGCTCAGACTGCAGGCCTTTCTTTGGTCCTATGTGTCCCTGAGCTGTGCATGTGAAGGTATTCAAGAAAAAAGCCAGTATCTGGAGCTAGGAATGGCTGGGATTTTCTCAGGTCCTTCTCTGCTCCTTTGCTTTTTGCGAACAGTGCCAGTGGCAGTCACGTAGGGCTTTCTGCTTTGCTTGCGTAGTTCTGTTTCTGGGACATTGAGTGCGTCTCTGTGATTGCAGGGAGAGCTCTCTGACACCTGGGCTGGAAGGGGGAAGGAGAGTTGTGAAGGCAGACCTCATATTCCCTTCCTCCACCATACTCAGAGTCTGAACAGGCCCCAAAAGTTTTTCTATCAAAACCAGCCTGTCCAACTTTCCCTTCATCTTTAACAAATGTCACAGGGTGCTTAAGATGTTCTGGACATGGAGGATACGAAGAAGAAGGTGTGGTTCTCACTCTGAAGGCATTTGCAGTCAGAAATAAAAGAGCTTTAGACTTAAAATTCTTGAATGAGTCTAGTCCAACTTTCTACCCCTTAGGAATCCTTGCTTTATGTCTCTGATAGGAGGTCATTTATTTTTTCCTTGAACGCTTCCAGAGAAGAGCAGCTCACTATTGGGTATACTATACTCCTGAATAATGTAGTTAGGAGATTTTTTCCTTATGTTGAATCAAAATCTACAGCTCTTTAACTCCCTACATGTAGTCATAGCTCTGTCCTCTATAACCACGCTGTCTTAGTCCATTTTGTGTTGCAATAACAAAATATCTGAGACTGAGAAATTTATACAGAAAAGTGGTAGATTTAGCTCTTGCTTCTGCAGGCCGGGATGTTCCAGAAGCACCAGGCCAGCATCTGCTCATGAGGAAGCAAAACGCAAGGGGCGTGTCCCACTTTATAACATCCCACCCTCATGGATGCTGATCCATTCCCTCGAGAACTAATCTAGCCTCACAAGAGCAAGAACTCGCTCAAACCATTCATGAGAGGGCCACCCCATGACTCAGACACCTCCCACTGGGCCCCACCTCTCACACCACCACCCTGGGGATCAGATTTCAACATGAGATTTGGACAAACCACATCCATGGCACATTAATCTTCCTTTACCATTATAGCTGTTATTTCTCCCAGGAAATAAAGGCCCTTGCCCTTCCTCTTTCCGTCCCTTCTAAGCGCATTAGCTGTATACCAATTCTGGATTGTTTTAGCCTTTGAGATAGTAAACTACACCACGATAGGGATCCTGAAGTTGTCTTTTACAATGTGCAGAGAAAAGTTGTTTTACGGAAAGGAAAGAACCCACGATCAGGTATAGTTTATTGGTATCCAAGTCTCTCTTTAGGGTTATACATTTAAAGATTAATTAATTAGTTATGCCACAGTTCTAGGGCAGTCAGAGCTATTTCTACCCTCAAGGAGTTAACAGTCAAATCAGACATACAAAATGCATGTGTACATCAGAACTCCAGTGAGGTAAATAGAACAGATGAAAATACTATAAAATCAGATCCCGGGAAGGTTCCTGCGGGTGGTGTAGTTAAGGAAGGCTTCCTACTTGTCCTGGGCTTGGAGGATGAGCACCACTGTCACGGTGGACACCTCAAGGGTTTTTGGTACTTTCACCTTCCTTAGTGACCAGGGGATGCCCTGTGGTCTTGAAGGGGACTTTTCCTGTGGCGTGCCCACCTGTCTAAAACAAAGGCCACCTTTGATAGATAAAATTACCATAGAAATGGTGGTGAGTTTGGGAGATATCTCTTTTGAAAACAAAATTAAAAGGAAGGAATATAATGTGTGGTAAAGCTGTGAACAGGATTTAGGACACACTGTTCTCTGTGCTGCCACATTACCAACAATTGATGGTGTCTTTGGAAGAAGCGGAAAGGCCTTGTTGAAATGAGGGGACCGTGGAAGAACCAACTCTGGTATAAGGAGGCCCTTGGGAAAATAACATGGTACCAGAAGGAGCCATGGTGTTCTAGGCTCAGCCTGGTTGGCAGTCGCTAAGCAGAAGCCCAGCACTCTCTAGCCCCCCACTGGCCTCTGAGATATGCGGTGGCTCCATTGTAACCTCCAGGGGCACTGACCACAGTATCTCTCTCTTCTTTTACGTTTTTGGCTCCATGGCTCCTATGGCTCTACTGGCTTCAGTTTTTCTCCTTGGTTTTTGTACCCTGCCACCCCTTGGCATGAATGCCCCCATCCTTGGCCCTCTAGTCTTCTCTTGATCTCCCTAAGTGGTCTCTACTTCGTGACTTCTTCTGTCTTCTGTGTACTGATGACACCATGGCCACTTTGCTGACTTTCAGACCTGCATCTCCACCTGCTAACTAGAAATCTTTGCCATTATGTGCTGCAGGTTCCTCAAACTTGGTTTCTCCCAAATCAGACTGATTTTTCTTTCTTGGACAAACCTGTTTCTTTTGTAATTATTTATCTTGATCAAGTCTCATCACCCCATCTTCAAGCGTCACTGTCTGTGTTGTCTTTGATTTCTCTCTCCCTTACTGTTCAGACCCCATCACCAAGACCTGCTAATTCTACTCTTCAGCGTCTTTGAAATTTGTCCTTTTAGTTGTTGTAGTTCATGCCCTTGTCATCTGTCATTGAGCTATCTACATTAGCTTCTTACCTGGACTTCCATTTTCCTACTTTCTCTCCCCATCTCCACCTTCCAACCTCTTCCTTTAGTTTTATCTCTTTCAAAACTCTGGTAAGATCATGCTGCCCTTCTGCTTATAACTCTCTCCTCCCCAGTGCCTTCCACGTCACATAATCCTCCCTTGCCCATAAAGTCAAGTCCTTCCTTTTGGCCCTGGCTCCTGCCACTTCTGCCTTGCCCTCATCCCTGGACCACCTGTCCTGTCAAAGGCATGTGCTCACTTTCATGGCCTTGTGTCTTGGCTCATGCCCTGTTTTCTGCACAGAATGCCAGAGCCCTTTGACCTTTTCTTTTCTGCCTGGCAAATACCTGTTCATTCTTCAAGACTCATTTTAAATGGTATTTTCTCTGCAATCTTTTTTAAAGGAACTTCTCCTCACCCCTGCAAAATTAATTACTTTATCTCTAGGCTGTCATTGCCTTTCACCATCGTACCCCTTACCACATTGCAGTGTAGAAGTGTGTGTGTCTGGGTACAGACCAGCTTAGACTCTCAGCTCCTAAGGGCCAGGAATAGCCTTCCTTATTTCTGTGTCCTTGGCCCCCTGGAAGAGTATCTGACACATTCAGTGAACAGTGAATATCTGTTAGGATGTTTTTTATAGGAATCTTGTCAGGAACTTTTCTGATCTGGGCAAATGGGGTTCAGAAAAGAGGGTGCCTGGCTCCTGGTGACATCACTCTCCTGTGGAGAACGTTGAAAACATGACTCTGGTCTCTTGGTGCCCAGCGAGGGGCGCTAGTACTCTGAGCCCCTCAACTCTCCTTCTGATTCCGACTTCCAGCGGCAGCGTCCGTGTCTGTGGAACTGTCACCCAGGCACACCTTTTCTCCTGCATTTGTGTTACACAACAACACAATGGGATTTACTGATATCTACTTCAAAAACGTACTGTTATGTTAGACTCCTGTTACAGCTGTTTTAGTGTGCTGTAGATTAAAGGCTCCTCCAGTTATAGTTTTTGATTTAATGAAATACAAAAAATAATAGTTTTTATCCTTTATTTATCAAGTCCTGCATATAAAGAGGTTTTCTATGATTCATTTGTTTACAATTAGGTACAAATTCATTAATCCTTTACATGATAACTTAAAGACAGAGGGGTAAACACACTGAGTAATGAAGCTTTTCTTTGAGTGGATTTTATTAATATGTTCCCTTGGGGACAGAGTGGGTCTCTGGAAAGAGCACTGTACTTGCTGTCTGGAAACTTGGGTTCTAGTTGTAGTCCTTTAGTTTTTTTGTATTTTCATATTTTCCTTATGTTAACTGGGAATACTCATAATAGCTATAAATTGCCATACAAAATAGAGGAGATTTAAGTTATGTTTAGATTTACCTCTTTCTAATATCGGTACAGAGGGACTTTTACAAGATGACATCAGATGGTCCAGCCAGACTTGTGAGCCTGTAATTTTCAGGATCCTAATGTAGCCCATAGAGGGCAGATGAAGCAGTGAAACTGATTACATGATTTGGTAGACGTGAAATGTGAGATGCAGAAAGGTTGCATTGAAGATACAGCCTTTGCACTTGGAATGTCTATGAATCAGTCTAAGACACCTGCATGCATGTCAAAAGTCCCATTTTAATGCCAGTTCTTCCTTTTAGTTTGAAAAAGAACTTCAGAGAATTTCAGAAGCCTATGAGAGTCTGGTCAAGTCCACCACCAAACGTGAGTCTCTCGACAAGGCAATGAGAAACAAACTGGAAGGCGAGATTAGAAGACTTCATGATTTCAACAGAGACCTCCGAGGCACGCCAAGTTCTATTCATGTTTTCTCTGCCCCAAATGACCCTTGTAGCTAACAGTATGACTTTGGGGCCAGGTTGCTTTGCTGCAGGTGCTAGTCTACCTGCGTTAGATAATATTGGAAATTCCAACCATCTGGGGAAGGGGAGACGCACTCAAAGAGCAGAACTGTTCTTTTTTGCCTTGTAAGTTGTAGGTTGCAGCATTGAGCCTTAGAAGTGACAATTATACATAAGTACATGGAAGCAAGGGAGTCTGTGCAGCTCCTTCTTGCTTTAAAAGTACTCGATAGTGACTCACGACTATTTGAAAAGACCAATGTTGGATGCACAACACTTTCTGCATCTGGCCGAATCATTTGGTGGCACCGTTTGAAAGGCAGCACTTAACACTTGCTAGGTGCAGCATAGAAGACAGAAATAGACATATGTTCCTCTTGAGGAAAAAAAACCCACAGTTGTGAAAAGAGTAGACATACATACTCGCTGAAAGATAGGAGCCACCTGCTACTGGACCTTAGCAGCCTCCAGTGTGCATGATGATTTAACCTATAACATTTTACTTGGCTTTCAGCCAGGCCATTTTTCAGTTGCCTCATGTGTCAAAACACTCAAATGTACTGATAGCTACAGTAGCTACATCTCACCTGTTCCATTATCACAAACCCTTTTCTGTTGGGTGTCATATATGTCCAATAAATATTTGTTGAGCTGGATTATTTAATTGAATAAATGAAGATTTGCCAAGTGGGTTGAGCAAACATAGAACGCACTGTGTACCCTCTTCATCCATTAGGCCATTTTGACCTTTTTTTTGGTATTTATTTTTAGTTTTTTGATTCCAAGATAACAGATAGCTGTCACTGCCTAAAATATAGAGCTGATGGTTAAGGTTAGACTAGAGCTGGGTTTGAGGCCAAGGAGATTAACCTGCTTTGTGAGGATGTCAAGTCAGAGGTGTGGGGCCTTGGAGACAGAGAGGCAGTTGTCCCCATTGGCATTAGATTGCAGGAAGACACAGTATGGCATCTGACAGCTTTGCTTTTGGTATTTTGGAATGTAGTTCTTGTTCTTCCCCGAGTTGTTCGGTTTTGGGTTCCTGCCTGAGCATCTATCTCTTCATACCCACCCCTTGGCACCCATTCCATTTCTTGGTTGGATGACAACTTAAATCTGTATGCATTTCTTTCTAATCGCTTCCTCTTTGTTCATAGATCGACTGGAGACTGCCAACAGGCAGCTGTCCAGCAGGGCCTACGATGGGCACGAAGACAAAGCTGCCGAGGGGCATCATGCTCCCCAGAGTGAGTCTCCACACTTATTTATCCCAGAGTGGGTATGTCTGAAAACCGGGGCCTCGGGGAAGTCATATTAGTTTTAAGGAAGTGTTGTGCTGTTTGCCTTTTGTTTGTTAATTTAGCATACAACCTATTGGCCTCACATGAGGCCCTCCTAGGTCTGCCAGAGACAAAGCTGCAGTTGCTACATGTTTCAGTAATGTTGATTCTGTTCTTCTGACCTACAGTTTCTCTGTGTCTCTCTGTAATATCCCAAGGAGTAGCAACGTTACAGCATGTCCTGGTGCACACTCCTTCAAACCACCCTGTTTCTCCAGGAAAGGGAAGGGGGGGCCTAGGAGTGGGATTTGGTTCTCTCTTGGCAGGTTTTGTGCCGTGCAGGTTGCAGAGTTCTAGACTGGTGGCCCCTTGCCAGTGTGCAAGCCTTCTAAACGATCGCACTATGTGTCTCCATGGGTGATGCTCATTTCCAAAAGCCACTGAGCCCATTTCAGCCAGTAGTAATGAACAGTGGCTTTGTAAGCCTCACCTTACTGGAAGAACATTTTATGCATTTTACCAGAGGCAAATGATAGAATCAAATGCGTTTTGAGAAACCACTAGTCAAGGTTTGAATCCCCACAAATTCATTGCAGAAGACAGAAATTTAAAAATCCAATCCAAAAAAAAATGTTTTTAAGCTGTCTAGAAAATTGAATTCGTGTCTGTGGCATAATTCTCAAAAGCATTATGAGTAGTGCTCACAAAGTAAAGACAATTCAAAATAACAAAATAATGTATTCGTGCACTAGCCATCTGTCTCATGGTGGTGGTATTCTGATGAGTGGGTCCCTCAGTGCAGCCCTGCATTTTAAAAACTGGAACATAATTGGTTAAATTTTCTAATTTCCAGTGCTGTTTGGTTGGATTTAACCCCTTAAGTTTCCCCCCAATGTACTCATAATTGCATTTCAGTTATTAGTCCAAGCTTCATTTTTTAAGTTCTGTTTTTGGCAAATGGACACTAATACTGTCTAGAGTTTTTGGCTCAGATTCCTTTGTCATCTTGTAGTAGGTGATTGGCATATGTTCCAGATTCACATAAAAAGCTATATCAGAAATTTGAATTACTTGCTTTTCTAACAAATTAGATCTCTTCTTATGGGTACAGTAAATTTACCATCTCATCTGAGCTTTCATCTGACAGGGGTCATCTGTACTGTTTGCATTTAGGATCATGGCACATTCCTTCTGGGTGACCACATGCCTAGGTAGAGTAAGTGTTTTTGGCAGGTATGTCAGAATGCCAGTTTTGTACACTCTGTGATACTCTGCCTTCTGTATAATTTGATCACTTAGTTCAGGGAAAAATGCAAAAGCAGTCATTTTCACCTGAAGGGCATTTATTCTGGCCTCCCAGCTGAGGCTGGTGCTGATGAATAATAGGGTTTGGTGTTGTGTGAGCTCAGAAATGTTCCTGAAGACTTTAACCTTCTGGCTCAAAGCTGAAACATCAATAATCAGGCAAAGAGGCCCTTCTAGCTTTACAGGGAATGATTTGTTCTGTGCAAACATGCTCCACTGTGTTCCAAAGACACAAATAAGAGAGACCAGAGGCATTTTTCAATTGCTTTAGAGGTATCTCAGTGCTGATGTGTAATGTAATTAAATCTAGGAAGGGCATTTGAAGAAGGTTTAGTAATGGTGATATTTAATCAATTTTCCTAATCTTTACAGGACACTTTATGCCTTCTTCACAGGTTTATAATTATCTGCAATAATTTTTTCTCTCCTGCTGTGGCCAGTGGATGGACTCAAGATGTTATTTCAAATTTATAGATAGGTATTTTTCTTAATAAGTTGTAAGAACTCTTTGAATATTAAGTAAATTCATATGTCCCACACCATATATGTTGCAAGTATTCTCTCCAGTTGTTTTTAATCTTTGATTATGGTGTCTTTATCTTATGGAAGATTTTTTTTTTTTTTTTTGAGACAGAGTCTCACTGTCTTGCCTGGGCTAGAGTGAGTGCCGTGGCGTCAGCCTAGCTCACAGCAACCTCACACTCCTGGGCTCAAGCAGTCCTTCTGCCTCAGCCTCCCGAGTAGCTGGGACTACAGGCATGCGCCACCATGCCCGGCTAGTTTTTTCTATATATTTTTAGTTGTCCAATTAATTTCTTTCTATTTTTAGTAGAGACGGGGTCTCACTCTTGCTCAGGCTGGTTTCGAACTCCTGAGCTCAAACAATCCGCCCGCCTTGGCCTCCCAGAGAGCTAGGATTACAGGCGTGAGCCACCGCGCCCGGACAGAAGATGTTTTTAAGTAATCATATTTATGTCTTCTAGCTTTTATGTCATGCTTAGAAATACTTTTTATTCCACAAGATTATAATACTATTCACCAATGTTTTCTTCAAATATGATTTCATTGTTCACAAGGCTTATATTTTGGAAGCTGGCCTGGGAGGCAAAGTAGAAGCGAAATTCATAAGGGACTAACCTAGAGGCAAGGAGACTAGTTAGCAGGTATTTTAGTACGGTATCTGGGCAGGAGATGTAGAGGTCTTGAACTAAGACGGTAGAAGGCAGTGATGGAGAGTAAAGGGACAGGCAAGCAAGTGATAAATTAGTAGGACTTGGGGACCACTTGAATTATGGCAATGAGAGAAAGGGGTGTGATTAGAGCTACTAGATGGATGGTCACCCTTTACCAATAAAATGCAGGAGGAGCAGGTTGGGATTGCAGTGAGTTAAGTTCTGAGCATGCTGAGTCAGCTTCCATTGTGGTCTGTATCTCAGTGAGCAGGTGTAACAGTAGGTGCAGAGATACCCAGAAGGCTAGGTGGGTGGTTCTCTCTGTCAGGCTTTCATTTTAGCATGTGCATACAGAATGGCAGGCATGAATTACTACCTCTCTTCATAGTTATTAATGTGTTCCATTATCATGTATTCATTCAGAAACCCTATTATTAGAATAAATTTCAAACCCTAATGATCACAATTACAAATATTACTCACTCAAAAGGAGCCATCCTTTTCAAATGAGTCTTTGGGGATTCTAGCACTTGGTTAAGAGAAAGGCAAGACAGCATGGCAATCGCAGTGACATCTCCAGATAATACATACCAAGGAGCTAAGGCTAGGCTGTGAAGCTCCTGCCAGCCACCTTGGCAACAGGAAAGTCTGGGAAAGGGGAAAGTAGAGAATAACACTCAGCTTTTTTGCTAGGTGTTCACATTGAAGCTAGGAGTCTGGGTCTAAGAACACTCAAGCAACTCTTGCAGTATGAGGGGTAGGTGGGTCTCGAAAGCTGTCACAGTTAATGGAGGGAGAAGGTCTTTCCTGGCTAGATTTTTAAATTTCCCTTCTGCCCAGGGTAGTTTTCTTTTAAAACCTGAACTGTGCTGGTGGGACTGCAAATAATACAACCTCTGTAGAAAGTAATATGGAGATACATCTCAAAGAGCTACAAGTAGAACTACCATTTGATCCAGCAATCCCATTACTGGGCATCTACCCAAAGGAAAAAAAAGGCATTCTATAAAAAAGACATCTGCACTAGAATGTTTATAGAAGCACAATTCACAATTGCAAAGATGTGGAAACAAGTCAAGTGCCCATCAATACATGAGTGAATTAGTAAAATGTGATATATGCTTACCATGGAGTTCTACTCAGCCACAAAAAACAATGGTGGTCTAGCATCTCTTGTATTATCCTGGGTAGAGCGAGAGCCCATTCTACTAAGTGAAGTATCACAAGAATGGAAAACAAGCACCACATGTACTCACCATCAAATTGGTATTAATGGACTTAACTGACCAACACTTATGTGCACATATAGTAGTAACATTCATCAGGTGTAGGGCAGGTGGGAGGGGGGTAGGAGGGGATGGGTATATACACACCTAATGGGTGCAGTGGACACCATTTGAGGGATGGACACACTTTAAGCTCTGACTCAAGTGGGGCAAAGGCAATATATGTAACCTAAGTGTTTGTATCCTTGTAATATGCTGAAACAAAAAAAATTAAAAAAAAAAACTGAACAGTGTTCTTAAGTTGGAGCCTGATGAAGGCCTTGGTGGACTACCTGGGTAGTTACCACTTAGTTCTAAAGATTGGGATGGACATTAAACAGGGCTGTTGTGTTCTTCCCAGTCATGAGTTTCATCTTCATTAAAAATCTTGGGGAATTATGTGCTTAGAAGTTTGATGACCTTGAGGAAATTTTTCTCCCTGTCACCTCATGGTTTTATGACATTCTCTTTGTAAGAATTCAGCATTGTGTTTGTTCATGTATTTTCTGTTCTTGCTGTTTGTTTTTTCAAATGTTTTTATAGCTTATAGGGTGGTGTTGTCAAAGCCAAATTACTCCTGAAAACTGGGCACTCTAGCCAACTCCTGTTTGGTCCGGCTGTGAGAAAATGAGGCTTCTTTGTCCTTTAACTTAACTTAGGTTCCTGTTTTTCCCATTCGTTCATTTGTCTCTCTCTCTCTCTCTCTCTCACACACACACACACACACACACACACACACACACCCCAGAGGTAGGTTAATGTCTGCTAAAGGCAGAGAAAGCCCCTGGGAATGTCTCTTATCATTCTTAGTGGTGTCTTCTCAGTGAAACTTTTTAAAAACTATTTCTTTCTGAAAATTGATAACGCTGCAGAATTCACATCAGCTTTAGGCCAGAAAGCCAAAAATAAAATATTAGATGTGAGGAAACTAGACTGGTAAAGATGAAATTTCATTTTATTGGGGTTTTTAAATAGATGTGTCAGAGCCTTGTTATGCTCTTGGATGGAGCGGGACCTGATTAGCTCTGGCATGTTTGTGTTATTCCAGGATAAAACCAAATCGTGTTGCAAGGATACACAAGAACTTCTCTCCACCTCTTTCGGATTTTGTAGGCACTCCAGGTTCGGCATATCTGGTTAAACTTAAGTTTATGTAGGTTAGATTCTGGCTGTTTTAAATGGCGTGCCTGTCTAAGAAAAAAGATTTCTTAGGTGTTCAGGGATT